TGGCCAAAGGAACTACAATAGCAAATCTAAATGGAAAAATTTAGTATTTATATATTTTCATTTGAAATGGAAAAACACGCACGAAATATGTCAACAATTTTCACAGCTTTCGCCACGTACCCCGCTACCCCGTTACCCGTTTCACCTACTCCACAAACGTGTAAAAATTTCACTTAAATTATTTTGTTTTTTAATTTTTTGCACACTAATTGCATCGCAGAAGTAGATTTTTTGGCGACATCCTTGCTGGCGTCGCTCGCAACCTTTGTATTCGCATCTGAGCCATTTTGTTTTTAATTTCTTCAGATTTTCCGGCACAATGGCAGCGTTGGAAAGTAAAAGTTTTAAATTTATGCAATTTCGACTTAATGCCAAACGCATTATGTGTGCCGTTATGAGATTTTAAAGAAATTAATTTTCCCAAAGTTAAAATCAACTTTTAATTGCTCGCATTAGCAACATTTCACTGAACCCTTGACAGCTAATTTTTGGCAAATTATGATAAAAATGCACTCCCATGCGCATCCTTCCAACAGCTGCTCCCTGCCAATGCCAATGCGTTGTGAAATTCAATTTCAGTTTGTCATTTTGCTATTGCAAATTTAATGTTTTTTTATGGAAATTATTTGTGTAATAAAAAATAACAAAGCATCATACAATATCGCTCGACATATTGTATGAGTCCTTTTTCTCTGAGCTTAAAACAAACAATATTGTTGACTTTGTATGCAAATTGTATAGAGTTGGCCAAAATCATTTTCAATTATGCCCTCGGGACTAGCATATGGTACGCGACTCAAAAAGCACCAAAGAACGAACACACACAAAAAAAATAGAATATCACCCCCAGAAATATTTTTATATTTTTATTCAGAAAGCATTTATTTAACCTCAAAAATTACCCGCTTCCAAAAACGCTTTAGCAAATGAAAAACTAAAAAGGATATTTCAAACAAACAAGGATATCACGAGAAAAACAACGGAACGAAAAACAAATAAAACTTCTATTACAAAATCAAACAGTGTTGCAATCATTTCAATTCAAGCTCCCTTCACTCCCTTCACTGCCTTCACTGCCTTTCTCCCTCCTAAATAAATATTTTTCTTCGAGTTTTCAATACAAATTCGAATTCCATAAATTCATTCTGTCTGTTGCTCTGCACAATTGTCCTTTTGTCCGGTTTGGCTATATGTTATGCAATGTCATGTCTTACATTTGTTTATCCTTAAGCGATATTGCTATTTATGTCAAGACAGAAGCTGAGATGCGAAGCGTAAACAGTGGCTGTCAAGTAATTTTTTTCAAAGGTTTATGTGGATCTTATGAAAAGGATTTATTTGAAATGAATCAAGTCGAAAATCAATTTTTTATTACAGATTTCTTTTAAGTAAAGTTAATGCAATAAATTCAACTGTTTATATAAAATACATTCGTGAAACCTATAAGGAAATATAAATTTTATATGAATTCATTATATCTACAAAGGTATTCCGGCATTCCGATATCAAAACCAAAGCACCTAAACAGCTTAATTGATAGATTGTTAGTGAAAAATGGTGACAGAAAGAACGATTAGGAATATGAAGCGAGAAGAAATAAAGAGTTTGAATATAGTCCATATTAATAATTAGAAATATTACAAGCTCAGTGAGAATGAGTCACTAGATATATTCACCCTGTCATGCAAACTTATTGCAAGATGCACGAAATGCACACATTGCACGAGCTTCCAATGGACAACCATACATATATGCTTGCAACGAAAAAAAGGGAAAAACAGCTGTTTTGACATCTGTTGGTTTTCATGTGGATGTGATATGCAGCAAAAACAGCTGTTTCAGTTTGATGTTGCAATTCTGCAACAGTGCTGTTCTCGCACAATTGCAGTTTTAGTATAGCATTCTTGCATTTCATGCAGCTTACTTGCAATGATTTTGCAAGACAAAGTGAATACCTGCGCTGTTTAAGTGAGTTAATATTTATATGCAAAGTGTACCTCTTAAGAAGGATTTGTGTTCTAAGTAAGAATCTTTTTAGCACATAAATTTATCAACTAATTATTCCGATCAAAGCAGTACTTCTAACTAAAGAACGACTTTATTACTAGAAGATAACAGACGAAGCGCTATGAAAGTACAGTTTTAAAAAGAATACCATGTCAATCTGTGAAACTGAAAGCACTGGTTGGTTGGTAATTGATGGTTAAAATAGTTATATATATAGCAAATATGCAAAGGATGTGATGGATTCTACTAATAGATGTACCATTTTTACTTTCATCTGATTGGTACCGCCTCCACTTTTAGATAGTGGGCATGCAACATCGAGCATAATAACAAACTCTAGTTCTTTCATCAATAGCATCTTTTAAAAAAAAACATTTTTTGCTCGACACTAGTAAATGCCTTCAGCTAACTCCATTCACTGCACAAACCCCTTTTTCGCATCTTTCTGCACACAATTGAGATAATGTTTATTCGTTATCTATTAGAAGTTATTTATTCAAAAGTGAGATTTAAGTAAAATGCATATAAGATCCCAATATTTCTATATTTTTCACTTCTTTACGATTTTAAACATTTTTTTATAATTTCAATGTTAACTTCACTCGACTCACCAACGCTACAGCCTTTTAAGCTGAACAAACTGCTGCAGAAATAGCAAGGACCTCGTGACAATGCTATTTTGCACCGCTTATTAAGCACACTCTGTTGCATTCCCGTAAGTGTCATTCCGCTTGCAGCGAATAGCATTCAACTAGTACTCATCCTCTTCCCTTAAGCAGTTGACATGCAAGTAGCAAAATTATTTTTTCATTAAACTTCATTTTATTCTCCGATGTATTCTCTCTGTACAATCATAATTTTCCACATTTTCTGAAAATAGAAAATAATGAGCACCGCACAAGGAACGGAAGGAATGGGACGAATCCAAAAACAAGAAACAAAAATAGAAATAGAAACAAGTGAAATGCACTAGAAGAAAATAAAGTCCGGCAGTAGACAGACTTGCAGTCGCAATTGTCGTGGTTGCCAAAGCAGGAGTCGTAGTAGGAAATTCCCTATGGAGTCTATCAACAGTTGATAAAAGAAATATGTTTCTGCTCCGACTTCTTTGGCTTAGTGCGGATATTTCTATTGTTTTTGTATTCTTGCCGTTGCTGGCCGAGAAAAATGCGGAGAAGTGTAGTTGCGTGTAAGTTTATTATTTTGAAGGTAATTGGATTTGTAAAGCGCACATTTTGTGGCAACATAATAAGAAAATATTTTTCCAATTTTTTTCTCTTCCATTTAAGATACAAGCAAATCAACGACTATGCCAACACCACCGAAATGCGTTATGCAAAAGGACTACGCTGCTGTGGGCAAAATTTTCTTTGGGAATTTCTTTGGGAGACATACAAAAACCCGTATGTGTTGGGACAGTGAACTATTTTATTGTGTATTCTTTATTAGAAATAAACAAAAACTCTTAATATTAATATAATTCTTCTTATATGAGCAAATTCGATTATGTGACACTCTAATATGTCGTTAGTGTCTCAGAGTTTTGTTGTCTGAGTTTTTGTAGACGTCTGGAATCTATCAAGAACTTATATTCAATGGATATTGAGGCAAATATCTGAATAAAATAGTAGATGAAAAATAATTTATAATCAATATTGAGTGAAGTGTTTTTTAAGTTCACCTTTAAATATGTGACTTGATCATCAAAAACCTACGTTTATTTTTAATTTTTTATACCAAAAAATTTTTTTCTCTTTAGTTGTTGGTCTTTAAGTTAGTTTAAGATTTTTTTTTATTTTTTTTATAATTGTTTTTTTTTAATTTATTTGTTAAGAAAACATTTGTTTTTTATATATAATTTATTAAGCCCACTTTTGTGATGATTATTTGCCTTATATAACGGGGTTTCTTGCCAATAATCTAATTTTAAGACCACGTATATTTGCTAATTTTGGGAGCGGAACTTTAGGAGTTGATCAAACACTGTCACCATAATAAATTTTTTCGATCAGTTTAAGAACGCAAAAAGTTTAACAATTTTTTTGTCTTAAAGCATTTCATAAGTCCTAAAATTAATTTTTTTTAAACTATACCGAGTTCTGTTTGTCGAGTCCTTTTCATACGGTTATCAAGACATCTAAGCCAATTATGATTGCAGATTTCCTCCCCTATGAATTAGTGACGTCTACATCTACTAAATACAATAGTGTGACCTTAATGCGAGAATTAAGAATTAATTACAAGCTAAAAAACACCATCAAAATGCAGATATCTATATATAAATGAACGCCCTTTAAATTGAGAAATTTTATGGGGTAATGAAATTGCAGAGATTCTGAAAAATGTTAGCCTTACTATATAGTGAGTGTGCTGATAAGCTTTTGCGAATGAGAAAACTAAACCTAGAATTGGAAAATTATTTTCAATGAGACTTACTTCAATTATAAAAAAGATATCGTATGTAATTTACACTTTACAAAACGGGTTTACTTATTAAAAAATATCAGTTACTCGGAAGATCTAAACGGAGGCCTTCATTAAAAATTCAAAACCGTTTTCAACGATAGTACGCTAGTTCTCTAGATAGAAATATGTCCCTAGAATCACCTAACCCAGACCCACAGATATGAATATAATCTAACACAACATGATGGAACTTACGATTAAAAAATAATGTTTGGAAGATCAATAAAACAATACATTTTTAATATAATTAAGGATTATATGAAAAATGTAAGGGGAATAGGATTTTTTCATTTTGATTCCAATTCTTATTAAGAAATAAAATTTAATTACTTCTCCAAAAACAAAAAGATATCGTATTGTTGCTTATGATTGTGCTTATTTTCTTCAGTTGTATTTTAGACACCGGTAATATATTCTAATAGACTTAAATAATTATTTAACAAGGGAAACAAATTGGTTTTAACTATTTTGGAACATTGTTACGGATAGGTAGGAGATTGTTTTTGGTGAAAACTTATATAATTAACTTAAGCGCGGTATCTGTAGACACGGCGGCGTACAGTTCTGTAGTGGTAACCATCATGTGCGGGTTGTTCAATTTCTTCATGATGATAGTGTGGTTGAGGAGCTGGAAGTGAGATTGGAGCTGGTGCTGGTGCTGGAATATGCACTGGAGCTGGAGCAGGTTGTGGAATGCGGATTGGTGCTGGAGCTGGTGCTGGAATATGAACTGGTGCTGGAATATGCACTGGTGCTGGAGCTGGTGCTGGAATGTGCACTGGTGCTGGTGCTGGAATATGCACTGGTGCTGGTGCAGGTTGGTGATGATGATGGTGTTGAACTGGGGCGGGTTGTGGTGCTGGTGGAATGTAAGTGTTTACTGGTGCAACTGGAGCTGGAGCAGGTTGTGGAATACGGATTGGTGCTGGAGCAGGTGCTGGAATATGCACTGGAGCTGGTGCAGGAATATGGACTGGTGCTGGTGCAGGTTGATGATGATGATGATGTTGAACTGGGGCAGGTTGTGGAGCTGGTATACGAATTGGTGCGGGTGCAGGAGCTGGTTGATGATGATGGTGCTGTACTGGAGCTGGTTGATGATGATGATGATGTTGTACTGGTGCTGGTGCAGGAGCAACTGGTGCAGGTGGAATATAGGTATTTACTGGTGCAACTGGAGCAGGTTGTGGTGCTGGTGCAATTGGTAAAGATAATTCCTCATGGTGTACACTTGGTGCTGGAGCAATTGGTGCTGGTGCAGGTGCTGGTGGTGGAATGTAGGAACGTTGTGGTTGTGGTGCAGGTTGTGGTCTCACTGGTACTGGTAAAGGTGCTGGAGCAGGAGCTGGGTGAGGGTAATTGTAACCCAATTCAGATACATCAGCGTAAGCGCATGCCAATACGGCAAAAGCAATAACTAAAAATTTCTTTAAAATAAAAGCATTTTTATTAGTTAAGTTGTAGGAATTATATATAAATATATTTATTCTTTATATTTTTTTTTTTTAATTTTAACTGTTTTTATCACTTGTCATAACTTTTTAAACAGTTTTATAATATATCCATGTTAGTATTGCGCTTCTTTTAGCAATATGACATTGTCTAGTTTTTAATAATTTATAAATTTTTTCCACTAATATAGTTTTGCTCTTAATAGTCAAAAATGTCGATATCCTTATACATGGAAAACAATATAAATTTAATAATAATTGAGCACTTGAACTTCTGAACCACACTTGATAAACATTTCTCTTTTCCTCTTCAGCCAAAACTCACCATTTTCGTTGATATGTTAACGCTTTGATTACAAAACAGTTTATGTCTCCGTCAAAATCGCAAAGGCCTTTTATATAGTTTCAAGTACATAAGCTGCGATTTATCTGCGATATATAATAAATATTCGTAAATAACGGAAGAAACATCTGTTAACTAAACGAATTTTTATAAATATTCAAATATGTAGTTTTATTTTATATTATTATATTCAAATTTTATGATTTTTTTCCAAGCTGCCGTCATCATAGGGCTCCACTGTTTGCTTGCCAAAAAATAACTTGTTTGCTAGCTCATCAAATATTCTAATAAATTTACATAAAGTGTAATTAAAAATAAAAAACATCAGAAATACCACATAAAACAAACAATTTAAAGATGCATAAATATTTCAATTTGTTGTATAAAATTTCGATTTGTGAAGATTGTATATTTTTGAATGAATTATTGCAGCCATCACTTGTCTTGCCGGTTTCGAACTAATAAAAAAAGGTTATTTGCTTGGCTAAGCGCCCTTAATTGGTAAAACTAAAGCAAAACTAAACAAGTTTCACTTATTCCATAATCACAACTTAAACTTTGTTCTCGCAAGAGATACGCCTTATCAGATAACCTTCAGCATATGTTAACACTTCCGAAATTACAGGTTCATAGATCTCACCAGCATCAAACAATCTCCCAACTTTGCATGTTTTTCAAAACGATTTTTGAGAACCAGTTTGCAAAAGATTAACATAAAAATGATATTTTTAATAGGCTTTTTATGTAAGAAATATAAAAAACATAAAATGTTCTAATACATTAATTTCTATATATAATTTAATTTTACGTAAAACCAAAATATTTCTAGTCTGTTTAAATTAACCCAAACCTGTATAATTAATATTTTAAAATAAGTATTCATGTGCGTTTAGTAAAAATATTTATTTGCACTTTGCTAAAAAAACCGAAAGAGAGGGGAACCCCTTCAGTTAACAACAACTCAAAAATTAAGGATATTTGCAAAAACATCTTCTTAAAAAAATATTATATTGCATATACAATACTAGATCAACCTTGTAACCAACATCTCTACACATATCACTTTGGCATTTTCCAAAAGTCTACTAATAGCACAAGGAGTAGCTATATATATTAGCACTACTAATAAATAAATATTGTTGTGTTTTACTTTTACTCTTCAGCGGAGGTCCAATTATTCTTACAATTATAACTATGAGCAACATTTTTCTCGTTATTTAAGATAAAAAAGAGTTCATCTAAATTCATCGAAACTAATGAGAATTTTTATAATTTTATCCAAAGCGTATAAAAATATTTTAAAAAGAGCTGTACATATTCATTGAATGAGAATATATGAGAGAAGGAGGAGGATTAGCTCCTTTCGGAACCACACGTCCCAGATTACAGAGTAACAGTTAAAAGTTCTGGCAGTGGTTCACCGCTTATAAGAACATCAAATTAGACAGACGCTCCAAGAGTTGGTAATACACGGGTACGAATTAGAACTATTAATCAATGATACTCGTTACCATATTAAAGTAAAATTATATCTGATTACAAATATAAATTTTTTTTTTATTTTAGATATCAAACAACGCGATTATAGTTTATAAATGCCACTATTTGAACTCTTCTGCTTTGGGTGAGAAACAATGTTGATAATTTGTAAAATATTACTAATCGCTCAAAAAAATATTAATCAACCATTTTGCTTAATATATTTTGGCTTTATTTAATTTTTGGATCTTCTTGAACCAGAGTTTTTATGAACCAAATCTTTTCAGAGCGATTGGGTGAAGATTTTGTAATACACAGCAAACTTAACTGAACAGAAGTCATTTCGCTCTTCGAATGTAACCTAAAATCAGTTTCCAATTACCGAATTGTAAAAATACAAATGAGAGTACAAATAAGTAATAATACTAATAATTTATTACCGTAACCGTTCGACATTGTCATAACCAGAAAACATCTATTTAGCAGAAAATATGAAAAGAATTACAAAATACTAATACACGCGTAAGGATATCGTTACGCAGGGGTATGTAAGAAGAAAATAAGTAGTTAAGGATAAGGAATGGATGAGTGATAAGAGAAATTTAATTGAAACTAGCCTAGTTCGAGTAAGTTAGACAAATGAGAGACAATGAGAGAACAGATAGACGATATCATAGGAACCACAGCTGCAGTGGAAATTAAATTAGGAATTGATATATTAATAGGCCACAAGTAGCGGCTTAGCATGTATTTATACTGATAAATACTGTAATATATAAGCATATATTACTCGCAATACTATTGATGTAATATGTAGTGTACCATACCAGCTTTAAGAATAGGTCTCTCGTATTTTTGTCATTCTTCAATTTCAATCTTATTTTTACAAATCAAGACACAAAATATTTGCTGTCATTAACAGGTAACGCACTCGCCTGTAATAAGATTTTAAGTCTATTAAAATGAGAGTATCCAACTGATTGAACAAGATTCGGTGTTAATTAAAGTTTGTTTACAAACATCATTTCGGATTTCGGTGCTTTCGGTTAATAACTTTCTTCTTTTGTAATCATAAAATTAAGCCGGATGAAACCTCGTTGTAACCTCCTAAATACAATATACTCGTAAATACTTTGTTGTAGGCATGGAAAGGATAATTTGCATATTATTTCCACAACTCTGATTTGATTAAGACTTCTCAATTTTTAATAATTGTACACATTTCATTGTTCCTTGCTTGGCATTTCTTAGCGTCGTTGTTCACACATAAAATTAACAATAAAATTCACATTTCTAGCTCTCACCTCTTCAAAGTTTCTGCCAGGCAAATCCCTTGCCAACATTCCTACGTACACTTTTCTTGACTTTCCATTACAATTTCGCATGTAAAAATCTTTACATCGCTTACATTTCGTTGCTTGTAATGATTTAACAATTTTTATTCTTTACATTTTTGTTTTTATTATTAATAATTTGCTTATTTCGTAATTCGGATCCTTAGCTTGGAGCTGAATATCCTGAAAGCATATTCAATTTCTCACTTCAATTTTTGGTTTCGTTATGAATTTTCATTACCAGCGAACGGAAGCTGACCCTCTTTCCGCATCGTCTTTTATGGAAATTGTCTTACCTTTATATTTGTTTGGGATTTGTTTGGTGATTTTAATTTCGTATTAAATTTTCCCTCTGAGACTCAAAATTGAAGTTTAACACTTCCATTTTTTTTAACTTTTGTTTTTACTTTCTCTGCACATTGCTTATAAACTTTTTAAATAATTTCAAGATGAAATCTAAAGCAGATTTTGAAAATGTTCATAGGAAGATTTTACAAAAATTGGAAAATTTATAAGAATCGTATTAATTTTTGCTCGAAAATATGTTTCAGCGTTTGTTATATTTTTTAAATTACTTACTTCTTCAAAGAAAAGTATATTAAAAACACTTATATTTCATAAGGTGGACCCAGTATCAACCAACTGCAAAATCAAGTAAAAAATTTTTATATATTTTTGAAATTATTCTATATCGCAAAAATAAATGTAACCTAAACTCATACCACATTTTATAAAATAATTATTAAATAAAACGTCGGGGAGGTGTGCAGATATGAGGTCAGTTATTGCTTAGTCAAATGTAGTGATAAACAATAATCCAGTCAAAGGCTAGAGAGTGGTTATGAAGTAACCTCGCAGTTCATAGAGAATAGAAGTGCTCAAATGCACTGACTCAACTAGCCTTAACATAAAAATAAATATTTTTATTCTGATAAAAAATATATAGAAAAAAAAAATATTTTAATTACAGATGCATTATTTTTAATAAAGCTTATTAGCCTTCTTATTAATTGTATGCATAATTTCTAGCAAAGGAGATATCTTCATTATCCAATTTTTAATTACTTGAGAAGTGAGCTTTAATTTAATAAATATGTACAACCTGACTACATAATATTAATCCTTTTCTTGTGCAAGAAACGGCAATTACTTATCGCAAAACTACAACCCAAGATAAACCAAGGAAACTATGATCCTTGTTAATTAATTTAGACATACTCTAATGTAAGATTCCTAACGTCGCATACTCCTTGTCCTTGGCAGAGCAATAATATTTATTTTTTCGTATCACGTACTATTATTTTAATAAATTGAGTAGCTATGTAGCAGAACAAGGAGAACAAAAAAGGACACCAGAAACACTGAAAAAAGTTTAAAAAGCTACAAAGATCTATGCAGGAAAAATATACACTCCACTCGCAAATAAAAAGGGAAAATTAACTTAAAAATGGTTGGTTGCGTACCTGGAAAAAATAGAATTAATCCTGAGTGCTAACAAAAGTGGACACAATGACAATGGCACGTACGAATCTACAGCAGCATACGTACTTAAATGCATGCGGTGCAATATTTAGAGTTGCCCTATTCTGGACACTGAAGAGTTCTAATGTCATAGATGACTATGAACTAAACCATTTTTGAAACTATTGAAATAATGTCAAAATTTTTATTTCCTCTTTTACATGACATAAAAATGTGAATATTTGTATAAAAGACAGGAAAAATAATTTATTAATCTTACTTACTTACTTACTTACTTAGTTGGCCTTTACAAACGTGAGTCGTCCTTAGCCGCGTTGAGTAGCATTCGCCAGTTTGGTAGCTCGATTAGTTGCTTGCTGTCGCCACTTGGTAGTACCGAGCGACCCCAAATCGTTGGTCACTTGGTCCGTCGACCGAAGATACGGACGTCCTCTATCGTGTTTTCCATCTGAGGACACGAATCAAACACTTACATAATTGACTTTAACAACTCTCGATCATAATACCTGAAGCAACAACTCTCTCCAGGTGAAGATAACAACTTAAGCACATGAAATTTCTCTACATATTCTTTCTTCAACTACCACTTCAAACACTATTTTTGTGAGATAGGCGTCTTACATCCTCCATAACCTAGTGTCACATGTGAAGTTGATAATTGTTAATTTACTGTAAAATATCAATTCCATTATTTAAACTCGTACGGCTCGTGTGTAATAGAGCGTCAGTTTTGTCGGTCTAAATTGTCTACTGAACCCGCAATAGCACCTATCGGCTATAGTTTACCTAATTTTCACAGAAACCCAAAATTTATTCAAGTAAACCTCTGTTCACATAAAAGTAACTATCACTGAAAACTATATCCTTTACAATGTAAGAGTATGGCAACCCAGAAAAAAACTTTCCTCTGCAGGACCGTTTTCGAGAAAACGAAGCACACGTGAAAAAATACAAAGTTTTTTTTACTAAACGAGAACGCGACAATGCTTACAAACACACTTCATAATTAAATGTCAAAAATGACGAAACGTGTCCGGAAAGCCAAAATTCCTTAAACAAATACGTAAGTTCTAGGAAAAAACTAATACAAAAAATTGAACTGCAGTAAATTTTCAGAATAATGAAATTTTTAAAAACAAAAATTAAAAGTTGACTGTTTCTCAAACTATCGTATATCGTAAATTAAAACTAACAAATCCCTAACTTAAGATAGTTATTCCGTTGAAATATTAAGTTCAAATTCCACTTTCACCAAACAAAAATAATCATTTTCATTTTCATAGTTTAGGACATAAAGTATCCACCTTATTAATCAATATTAATCAATTAACCATAATTAATCAATTTTCAAGAAAGAAAAGCAGTTCAATGGACATACAAAAACGAAAAACTAAACTAAAAAGTTAATAAAGGTTATAGTCTATTCTAAAGAAAAAGGAACCCAACTAAACTTTAAAATGATTTTCAATTTTATCAATCCAAATCGGTTAACCTAAAACTGACCATCAGCAGACATACAAATTAACGACAGACTCACTTACTCCCACATATCATATGAAATAAATAAAATCATCCAAGGTGTTAAAGTTCGTTATTCGTAGATGTAGAGAACTGCTACTGGTATACTAATATTGAAAGATAAGTTGGATATATTTAAGGTTAAAAGGATAATTTTACATCTTTAACCAAACACTATCAAAAGTAATGATGAAAGTCAAATATAATGGATTTTAATATTCAGGTGTACGTTATATATATTAATAGAGATTGAATAGTGCTCAATAATGGTTATAAACTGAAATCAAATAAGATTATACACAAATTAGCTATCACAGAATCACATTCACTACAAATGGGCATTAATAAAAAAAAATAAAAATATGGAATACTTTTGTTAGTGAAGTACAGTTGCTTAAAACAGACCATTAATTTTTAAAACAAAAAAATATTACTTACAACTGATCTTTAATAAAATTCAAATGGAACATTCTCACCTTCACATATTGTCTTCATGGACCCTATTTGAAACGCCTTGAATATCCTAAACTCTGCCATGGTTACATTAATTGAAATAAACTGTTGCAGTATTCAACATTATGTTTAATCATGTTTGAATAATGCACATATCAAAAAATTGAATAAATTATTAAATACTTTATTAAGATTTTTGATAGTACACTAGTAATTCTCATCGCTTTTGCGATATTACTATATCTTTTACCTATCATAAAGATTAAAGATTTTATAAATTTTGCTGGTAGAAATCAGCTGGCCCGTTCTATCTTATTGAAAACAAGGAGAAACTTACGAACTAATTAAATTTTTCTTTGTGTGCGGACTATTTGGTGATCGGATTGAACTTGTGTTGTTTATGTTTTTATGCTATTTTGTTTTATGTATTCTTTTTTCAAGGAAATTAAAATTTTATATCGGAAATTTATGATTGCCTTAAACTATTTATTTCTTTTCTTTATTTTCTTTTGATAATTTTCACTGATCTTACATTCCTGTATATATACTAGCAGTTAAGAGTATTTAGTCTACTCTTTCCCATGTTTTAAAATATGAAAACACTGTTACTATGACTGTCATAGTAGTTGATATGAAATCAATGTATAGAACATTTACAACACTGGTTCGTATGCAACACTGTTAAACAAAGTTATCGATATAATTTAAAATTTTTGCGCAAAAATTAAGATTGTGTAGAATTTGATTACTACGTTCTTGAAATTCTTTTATCGTTAATATGTCGCAAGAGGAATTTCTAGAAGATTTTAAATCGTGGGCAGTAAAGTTGGGCTGTGATAAAGAAGCGATGCCAAGTGAAGATGCTTTAAAAGCGTAAGTATGGGTTTTTCAGGGTTTTCGTGGAAATTAATATATCTTATTTGCAAAGTGTTTTTAAGTCCCCTCAAAAGGAACTTTTTAAAAATTTAATGATGAGAGTCTTACCCCGTGGCGAGGTAGAAGCTTTTCGTGAAAATCTACTGATAAATAAAATTGAAAAATTGAACAATGAAGAGGTGGTACCGCTGGTATGTATCTAACGTATTTGCCTATTTTATTTGAGTTTAATGAGAATTTTTCAATAATTCACAGGCTTATAGCAAAAGTTTTCTACCCAAGGAAATGCAAAAATTCCATAGATTATCTGTTTTAAATGTTAAAAAAGTCAATTTACTGAAACGTCTAGATGAACACAGAAAGGAATATGAAATTTTAGCTGCTTCAATTAAAATTAAAAGTAAGGTCACAGATATTGAATCTTTTTAATAAAACAAATATATCTCTTGTAGGTATATACACACATTTTATAACTCTTTTTTGATTCTTTACTCTAGACTGAAAAATTTAATTATGATTACAAATAGTACTAAGCACCTACACTACAATTAACTAAGGATATGCTTGTTGGCGTGAATATCCTATATGTTACTTAAATATGTGTCTATAAATAATTGGTAAACTAAAATAAAGTGTTCAAAGCTAATCCATACTGAACAGAAATCCTCACTGTATGGGCAACCCTCTTTACAGATATTGCTATTGTGCACTTAATGTGCTTAAAATGAAACTTTATTTTTATCCCATTTGGGTCTACTTAACCTGTCTTTTGACTAAACACCTCACTTGGACGCACTAAACTTAATTGATAATTCTTATCGCTTACAGGAGCTTTCACTGTATTATTGCTTTTATTGTAAGAAATGAAATGCCTCATTTAAATTCTTTATTGTATGTTTATCTTTATATAATTCCTTGCGACTCAATCACTATAATGTAGGCGTATCTATTTCATTTCCCATTTATATTTATCATGAATTTATCGGTCACCTTGAGAATTGGAGTTAATGGCTCCTAATGTCGTGTTGAATTTATAGATTGTTCGACCAATTCAGTTTGACTTACCGCTAAGAATCGTCACTCATGTTGACGCAATTAAGTAATACAATATCTTTAAAGCCAATATACATACTAATACAGACTCCACGTGACGTCCTCACTTCTAAAAACTGATTGAAACCCGATTCTAAAGTCGAAAGACTATCATTTATTTTTACAGACATTAAAAGTATTAATTTTGAGCACAACAAACGCTTATTGCAGTCTCGAGTAGCTGTGTTTGAGTTCAAAAGTGAGTCCTTAGATAAACAACTGGCAGAAGAAAAGGAGAATGAAAAGCGCATTCAATCAACTGTTCCAGTAAAATTGACTACACAATCTTATATGGATAAGAAAGCAATGGAATCGGTACTCAAGACGCTTAGAACGTTGGAAAATTTTTATAAAATTACTGGAACTGATAATATGAGTGGTAAGTACTGAAAATACTCAATTCATAATAAAACTTTATATATAATTTTTAATATTTATATCTAATGCAAACCCAAACCAGCTGAAAGCACAGAAAGTCTCTGGAAAGAAATTCGTATCAACTTGTCTGATATACCAAACGCTTCAATATTTAAGGCTGTTATGTATCTTAAAGATAAACAACTACAAAATATTAAAGCTATGAATAAACATATTTCAAATAAATCTCTCGGCTTCTTATATAGCCCGTCAACAAAAAAAGAGTCTTTTTCTTCGTATAAAATAAAATTAGCAAAAGCGAAGGCAAGTCTCTTAGGCGTGGTATCGAAATATATTAAAGCACGAAAGGTACGCACACAGCTTGAGGAATATTTCGTCAAAATTTATATAGAATTTGTGGACAAGTTGCAACATAAGTTGAATTTGAATACCAGCAAAAGCGATGAGGTTGTGGAGGACATAATGTCGAATTATCTTCTTCAATTAACCTCAATAAACTTTTCAAACAGCGAAAATGAATATCTAGAAAAACAAATAGAACATTTAAGGACGGATATCGAAAATACTAATATGCAAATACAAAATCATGAGGTGTGCAAAGTTATACATAAATATCAATTAATTACTATATATATAACTTTTCTTTTTAAATACTATTTAGGTTCTTCTTGGCTTTATAAGGAAAGTTTATTGCGATATAAATGCATCAGTCAATCGCTTACAGTTTGAAATGATACAGCTAAGTCTAATTAAAAGTAAGATAGTTTATTCTAAGAATGTATTGCAACAAATGTTGAATCAGATGAAATCCTCCGCTAGCACTACGAGTAGATGGTCCATGGATTTGCGTAATTCATTTTTGCAACCACAAAAGAAAATCAATGATATCACATTCAGTGCTGAAAGTTTTGCGATGGGAACTGAAAACGTACTCTGCAGTACCAAATTTGATTTTGATAATACAGTGAGCTCCCTTAGCAGTAACACTCTTCTTCAGAGTTTCTGTTCTGGGGACACAACTATCATAAGTACTGGTACAAATAATAATTTACCAGCATATCTGTTAGAATTAAATATTTTTGCTGAGACTCCAATTGAACATTTTAGCCGCATGTTCCAACAATGGTATGTGTTTTTATATAATTGAAAAATTGCTTTAATAAATAATATTTTCAGTGCATTTCACCTCTCTCCAAATCCAATTGTCACTGCGGCTCAAGAGCTATCCCCAGCAGTACAATTCACACCAGGTGCTTTATTAACAACTTACGGAGCCTTGAATGAAATAATTTCACGCATCAAGCTAGCTAAGCACTTTGCCAGATCTTCTGGTGTTGCCAAATTTAAATTGGATTTGATACATAGTAAATATATATAATAAATATATAGTAAATACTATATACTATCGTCTATATTTATTTATTTTTTTCAGTTGATACTAACTTGTTGAACAAAAAACAAAAACTACAACAAGAGCGCATATTGGAAATTTTAGATAAAATAAAAGAAACGAACGTCAGCACTGATTATATATTAAATAAATGCTCGAAACTATACAATTTTCGTTTAGAAAATCCTTTGAGACATTATATTCCACCTTCCAAAACCTTCAACGATCAAACCTATTCAGAATATGAATCCGAATATAACTTATACTATCGTTTGGCAACAGAAGATACTTCCACAAATTAAATTTTTTATACATTAAATTTGTATTTTGATTATTAAATAATATATTGTTTCCATATTGTTCATATTTTCTACAAAATTGTAATACTATTAATGATTAATATCGTTTTTCTATATAATTAAATTTTATAAAAAATACACACATGTAGAAAACAAGAAATTATATTTATTTGACTTTATAAAAAAACAAACTATAAAATATTTTTATATTGTTCTTAATGTTGTCTTAAAGAAGAAGGACATTACATGGAGTAAGCCCTACACTGACGTTACTTGCTTCCTAGCGCACAATTACGATGATATGGCATGCAAACTTAAATGTATATAGTTCACGGGATCTAAAGTCGGATTTAGCACTTATGTCTCAAAAACTTAAGTCAGGATCATGAATACCACTAACATCAATGCACTCCTAATAAACTCAATAAGCTGAGATATATCATTTCGACTTCCCGTGGTTGCAACGAAGATGTCCAAAACAAAATAAGAAATCATTGTGAATGAGCATAAAAAATATTTGAAACTTTTCTTAACCTGCTTTTCCGTTTCTTTTGACGTCTATCTAGTGGTACTGGTATATAATTTCCTGAAGACCTGTAGAAGATGTTGAATTCTCCACTTATTGCAATTAACTAATAATCAATGGAACTCTATCACTACATATGAAATATCACAATCGAACTGGTCTACGTAGGTCTGTGACCACTGGCTCAAAGACCAATACCAATATCATACCAATATTTTTTGATTAATCTATTCCAATCACAACCTTTGATGTCTGATTGAAATCCTTAATCCTGCATTGACAAGAACAAAAGTCTATACTATTTAATGTGACGAATTTAACCATGTTTACACAGACGACTAAAAATTAGGAAGTAATTACAACGGTGGCTTATAATAGAAGGCTGTTTCAAAACTTTTTCCATTTAAGGTAAAAAATTTAAAAACAATATTCCTAATATGTGAAGTTTTAAAATATCTTACAGCTTTCTACTAAAAAGTTAAATGACCAGATCTGATAAGGAAACTGCGAGACTTTCTTCTAAAATCTGTGATACTGGCTTTTCTCTACATTTCCTCAAGAAATCTTTTTAAAAATGTAAGTCAACTTTAAATTCTGACTCTACTAAATGAAGTACTTAGTCAAAAAAGATTTTTGTCAGAAACTTGTGTATACTTGAAAGAAGATTTATACATGTACATGAGTATATAAATTTGTACTTATTATGCACAAGTATTTATGGGAAAATATAAATTTTTCTCATCATACAATACAAAAAAAAATATTTTAAATGAAACTAAAATGAGAAAACTTTAAATATTAAGAACTTAAGCACATTTTCATATCAACTTACTTGAATGATTTTTCAAATTAAAATGTTTCGAACTTAGCCAAATTGGGGAACGTGGTAGGGTCCTGTCCTGCCCCTCTATTTTGTATATTTATTTGTATTAAAAACGAACTTTTTGAACTTCTAACAAAAAAAACGGGCATGTAGAAGAATTTTCTAACCGTGTAATTTACAAAAGTTTTCCTTACAACCTTTTCATGTATTTTAGTGCTTCGAAATTTTGTACTCGTATTCCTCCTGTGAAGGGAAAGTATGAGAAATAACTTAACTCAAAACTCGAATTTCACAAAACTCTTGCAGAACATTAATTCTGACTATAATAGCAACAAAATGCTGAAAGGTAGAAAGTTACTTTAAAAAGTACTACTTACTATCAGAAATATTAGTAAATTTGTCATTGTTGCAAATTGCTTTCGTAATCACAATGCAAAGTTTATAATTTGTAAGTGCACTTCATTGCAATTTCCCTACACTGCAAATATTTTGATTTAATTTAACTTTTGCTTTTCTTTTACTTGATTTTTTTTTAATTTTCTAATCAAAAAGTTTAGCGATAATTTTATTTTTTCACTGCCATATAAAAACGGTTAAATATTCCATTAATGTGATGATAATAATGATGATGCCATTATTGAGATATATACATACGTATTACGTACTAGATTTGGATAACACAAACTACGTGCGTTAATATTACACAAGGCTACGTTTTAGCTAAAGTATTTGATTATACAACTAACTTTGTTCTAGGAATGCTTATATGAATAATTACCTGAAGTATTATTGGTTGGCTACCTCTTAACAATATATCTTACGCTAAGAAAATTATTTCGATAATAATTACAGTCATCCCACGTTCTTATCTGTTATTCCACAAGGTATGTGTCTATTATATTCAACACTACTTATCCTACACAAACATATGTTTAAAAACGATGACAATAACAAGACCATATTATTCATAAATAATATGTAGTCTCTCATTAAAAATGACACTACAAACTCAGATAGTTAACTAAATATATAAGCACTCCACCACTCTATATTAGCCATATAGCTAACTACCTCCAACCAACAATTTAATGTATTATATAAATGGGTTTACCACTCAGAAGTCGTTTTATCCGTTTAACCGAGCGATCATCGAAGAGTTGCCATTTCAATGTCAGAACACGTTCTAACCCGTAATAGCACTCATATCCTCACGCTACAGATAAAACGATATACCTCCTCATCGCGGGTAAAGTTGTGTTTACTTTGCATTTAAAGTAAAAGAAGACTGACTACAGAAATGATCCTGTGAAGTATAGTCTTAATTTTACCTACGAATTCGTGGACTTATAAGTGTACACGTATATCAAGCGATTGAGAATTATAAATTTCACACAATACAAAATTTGTGCGATTTATATATTTTCACCACCGAACATTTCACAGCACATAATTACAAAAACAAATAGCTCTTCAATATATTCAAGAACACAGAACACAATCTTTAAAATGCCTACTGTATGTCTTAAGAATAGATTATTGTTTATTATACCTCAATTCTTTTGTAGAAACTTAAATATATTTAGGCAGATCAAACACACAAACGTGTATAAAAGCAAGCAAAGCAATATTTGCTGCTTTGTGCGTCGGCTGTCGTTGAATAAGACAAACATTGTACATATTAAAAGCAGTGGAATGATTATCTACTGCTTTTCATTTTTATCTATTTGAATACGCAGATACATAGATACATATGCATATAATAGACAGGTATTTTAAGAAGTAGCATTTACCTGGTATATAATAAAAACCCACAAAACTATAATTAAAAGAAAATATCTTTGCTAAATAGTATTAAGATACAATTAAAAAATATTATTTCACAAATTGAATAATTATTTTAAATAATTTACATTAATTTAGATAATTTAAATTAAGCAATTAATAATATTAAAAAAAAAACTCAAATAGCTGACAGAGACAGCAAATTATTTTCTAAAGCTCAAAATAAAAAAAGTGAGCAAGCATTCAAACAAAATATCAGTGCGGTTTTGTGAATATATAAACAAAACAAAAAAGTGCTGATAGAGACAGCTAGTATTTTATTACAAACGTGTTCCACAAAAGCTGTAATTGGAAGCCCGCAATTCATCACAACACAACACAACATCAAAACCAACATACGTGCTAACATTGGATTTTGGAATTTAAAGATATTTATTTTATTAATTATTATTATTTTTTTATTATTATTATTATTATTATTATTCTTAGTATAATTATTATTCTTTTTTCTCTCTTTTTGTTTTTATTTATATGTTTAATTATTAGAATATAAAGTATAATATTTTACACATTTTCATTTTATTTTTTACATCTTCATTTTTATTTTTATTATTTTCTTCTTTATATTAATTTAATTTAATTTTACTTATATTTATATAGTTAATTTAACCTTATATCAATTAATATTAATAGTAGTTAAATTAAGTAAATCTTATATCACACCTGCTATTTGCATATATAACCACGTATGCAAATGAGCAATCAATATCTAGAAAGAAGACATACGATAAGCATTCCAAGTAAACGTAATGCTTATCTGGTAATAGACGCATCGAATACGTTGCCTCTGAAAACTACACAAACTGACAAAAGCTTGTCAAACATTGCACCTTCAGCAACTTCGCTTGCATTTTCCGACTTAGCGAGTCCAAAAAATAAAATAAAGGTTCAAACAGGCATGGAACGCTATGTAAATATGAAACGCAAACTTAGTCCTCAAAAAAGCAATTCAAAAGGTGCTAAAATAACTAAATCCATCAAAGATAGTGCAACTACAAACATTCTTTCTGGCAATAGATTTGCTGAATTAGCTGAAACTACAGAAGAAGCTAATCAGCCTATTAACAAAAATTTTAAACCGCCTCCAATCTACCTGCGTGAACGCAGCTCAAATAACCTAGTTACAATCCTTGCAAGTCTGATTGGAAATAATACTTTTCATATTGTTCCTATAACTAGGGGCAATATACACGAAACCAAAATCCAAATCGACACTGAAAACAATTTTAGAGTCATAACCAAATATTTCGAAGACAGCAAAAAAAATTACTACACATACCAACTAAAGAGTAGTAAGGGCCTTGTTGTCGTAATTAAAGGTATCGAATCAGATGTAGAACCCATTGAGATAACAAATGCCCTAAGCGAAAAAGGCTTTAGCGCTAGAGCAGTTATAAACATTGTTAACAAAGATAAAATCCCACAACCTATGTTCAAAGTTGAACTTCACCCGGAAACTGCTAAACTTAAAAAAATGAGAGCCATCCCATCTACAACCTACAGTATTTACTTCACCGAATTAGCGTTGAGGAGCCCCACAAAAGAAATGGGCCGGTGCAATACACAAACTGCCAAGAGTATGGCCATACCAAGTCATATTGCACTCTTCGTACAGTGTGCGTAGCTTGTGATGAGCTTCATAGTTCCGAATGCCATGAAAGCATTAAAGGATACCAACTCCAAAAAATGTAGCACTTGCAGTGGAAATCACACTGCAAACTACAGAAGCTGTCCTATTTATAAAGAACTGAAGCACAGGTTAGCTCTGCAGAAAGAAGCGTTGCGTAATCCTACAAGAAGCAACCCTATTAAATTAGTTGAAGTACCTCAACCTTTAACTTCTAGGCCTGTTACACAAGGTGTTTCATATGCTAATGTCGTTAAATCTGACAAGCAACAAGCCCCTCCAGTTCAAAGTAATAGTTTGGAAATGATGATCTCCACTCTCACCCAAAGCTTAACTCAATTCATGTCAATCATGCAAACTACTCTTAACGAGATAGTTAAAATGCAAAGCCAATTAATGCAAATGTTTTTGTCTAATAAATAAATACTTTAAAAATTTGTACATGGAATGCAAACGTTTTAAGCCATCATAAACTTGAACTCACAAATTTTATGTTCCGAGAAAGTGGGGATGTAATACCTCGGTCAGAAACACATCTAACAAACAAAAATTTCTTTTCTATTCCTGGTTATTTATTCTATAAAACCAATCACCCAGATGGCAAAGCACATGGTGGTACAGGTATTTTAATACGAAGGCGTCTAAAACACAATTTTCTAGGTGCATATGCTCATAACTATATGCAAGCAACATCAATATGCCTTAAGTACAAAGGAAAAAATTTAACTTTATCAGCAGTTTACTGCCCCCCTCGCTTCAACATTACTAAGCTCCAATTTACGGATTACTTCTTAACTCTAGGTGAAAGATTATCTGCGGCGGGAGACTACAACGCTAAGCACACGTATTGGGGTTCACGACTCTGTAATTCAAAAGGAAAACACCTCCACAATTCCATTCTAAATAGAAAAAATGCATTAGACGTAATTTCTCCTGGGCAGTTAACATATTGGTCTGCTGATAACAATAAAATACCAGACCTAATAGACTTCGCCGTGACCAAAGGCATAAGCAAAAATTTTACCTCAACATACACTAGCTGCGATTTGTTTTCTGTCCATTTCCCAGTCACATTTTGCTTACTTGATGGTCCTCAGTTATACGACTGTTCCTATAGCCTTACAAGTCCTAGAACAAACTGGGTCAAATATAAAAAGTACATTAATTCACACATTGACACAAATTACAAGATAACGTGTAAGTCTCATATTGAGGATGCAACCTCGGTTTTGAACTCAATTCTGATTTCAGCAGAAGAAAACTCCACCACTAAAGACAATAAAATATACAGATTCAATAAAATACTTACAAATAATGACATAGAGAATTTAATTTTACAAAAACGTAGATTAAGGCGTGAATGGAAAAAATCTAGGTCCCCTTTGGCAAAAAACTTATTTAAGGAATCCCAAAGGAGACTTAGATCTGCATTAAGTAATTAAACCAAAATCAGGCAATATAATCATATTCAAAACCTATGTTCAAATGACAAAAACCATTCATCCTTGTGGAATGCTAGCAAAGGTATAAATTCCCCCATAGAATCCGATTCTCCAATAAGTAACATAACTCTCTCGGAAACTGGACGTGAAATGATGAAGAAAAATCTACCGTTTTTGCTGATTACCTAAAAGAGGTGTTACAACCAAATCCTGCAACAGGACATTATGACTTTCCCACTCAAGATCCACCAGTACCATCTATTGACATGAATATCACGGCCAATGATCTTGTCCAAATAATCACAAATAAGTCAGATTGCAAAAAGGTACCGGGATATGATAATATCTCACCCATCATGATAAAAAACTAACCCCTTTTGGCTATAAATTTTATCACAAGACTTTTTAATGCTATTATTAAATTTGGTTTT